CAATTTCGTTGCATCAAATGTTAAAGCTGTTTTGGATAGACTTTTTTTATGCTGATTACGAATCCGTAAGTATACAGTCTCCATCAGCTCTAGATTTGGAAAAAACGAGGTCAAAGTGTCAAAAAATCACGTTTTTTACAATATTTTAGAAGTCATAGCAAAGAACGTAAAGGTGATAAATTAAAGTTAGAAGTCTCGATTACTATATCTGAAAATACCATCCTTGTACGTTGAATTGATGGTCAATTATAGTAATCAGCATAAAAAAGTCTACCAAAAACAGCTTTAACATTTGATGCAACAAAATCACTGCTCCCTTGTGTTATTATTATTTTTAAAAGAACCTAAACAATTTGTTTTAACAAGTCGTTTCTTAAAATGTACCTACCCTACGAGATGGATTTTTCGTATAGTACATATTAGAAAAAAACATGGAAAATTTGCTAAGTCCAACAAAAAAATTTTAAGAAAAAAGTGGAAAATTTGCTAAGTCACAAAAATATCTACAAAATTTGTAAAAAAGCAGACTTTGTTTTTATTTTTTTTAATAAAGGATAAATGAAAAACGCGAAACATTGCATTCAAAGTTACTTTGGAACGTTTTTTGTGTATCCAGTACAATTGAAAAAAAATGGACTTAGCTACTTTGTACTCTAAGCTAGCGATATGTATTTTTTTAAACAAACTTTTTTGCTGAGAACTTATTTAAATTCCAAAAACCGAATGCCAACTTGAATGAAAGGAGCCAACACTGAAGTGAGTCAAAATCAAAATAAAAGAGCACAAATTTCTATGTAAAGCAAAACTCTCTGGGAATACTACGAGACATCTGCCGGTCATCTAAATGGGAGATCTGCAGTCTTTTGGCATCATATTTTACATCAGTGACCAGTTCTTTTGTGTAACTGTAATTTTACATCCCTTGTCAATATATGGCCTCGGTTGATTAACTTAAGGTCGTTGTTTTACTGCCTTAAAATTGAATGGAAATTTTTACAGCGTTTTTTATGTGTATTGGTTTCTATTTGAGTGTATTGAGAATCGGTCAGTCTGAAAAGGCCTCGTAGGGAAGACAATAGGTTTGTTCGTCGAAAACCCAGCGAGAATTATCACTCAAAGTATCAGATAGTAAGAAAAAATGCTCCCATATTTTCTCTCATGTAGAGAAACTTGCAACTTTCTGTACGAACGCAAATTTGCAAGATTTTCTGCCAGCTAGTGTCCACGGTTGCATTTCAAACAAAAGAAATTTGTATACAATTTTTAAAATTCTTTCAGAGGGGCAAAAAACAGGATCTACGTGTATATATCTTGTCAGTCCGACTTTCTTCAACATATGTTTCAATTTCTTTGTCGGGTTTACTATATCGACTCTGGTTGAGATTGCATTCCGATTAAGAATACAGTTTTTTTTTTGCCGAGTACCTTTCAAATCATTGGAATTAACTAAATTAATTAAATTCAACAATTTATATCGAGCTCGAGGCCGTTTTTTATATGAAAATTTATTGTGGAAAAGCAAC